TGCCACGACAATCCTAAGTCAAAAGAACAAAGCTGGAGGCATCACGCTACCTGACTTCAAACTATACTATAAGGCTACAGTAACCAAAACAGCATGGTACTGGTACCAAAACAGAGATATAGACCAATGGAACAGAACAGAGCCCTCAGAAATAATACCACACATCTACAGCCATCTGATCTTTGACAAACCTGACAAAAAAAAGAAATGGGGAAAGGATTCCCTATTTAATAAATGGTGCTGGGAAAACTGGCTAGCCATAAGTAGAAAGCTGAAACTGGATCCTTTCCTTACTCCTTATACGAAATTAATTCAAGATGGATTAGAGACTTAAATGTTAGACCTAAAACCAGAAAAACCCTAGAAGAAAACCTAGGTGATACCATTCAGGACATAGGTATGGGCAAGGACTTCACGTCTAAAACACCAAAAGCAACGGCAACAAAAGCCAAAATTGACAAATGGGATCTAATTAAACTAAAGAGCTTCTGTGCAGCAAAAGAAACTACCATCAGAGTGAACAGACAACCTACAGAATGGGAGAAAATTTTTGCAATCTACTCATCTGACAAAGGGCTAATATCCAGAACCTACAGAGAACTCAAACAAATTTACAAGAAAAAAGCAAACAATCCCATCAAAAAGTGGGCAAAGGATATGAACAGACACTTCTCAAAAGAAGACATTCACACAGCCAACAGACACATGAAAAAATGCTCATCATCACTGGCCATCAGAGAAATGCAAATCAAAACCACAATGAGATACCATCTCACACCAGTTAGAATGGCAATCATTAAAAAGATAGAAAACAACAGGTGCTAGAGAGGATGTGGAGAAACAGGAACACTCTTACACCGTTGGTGGGACTGTAAACTAGTTCAACCATTGTGGAAAACAGTGTGGCGATTCCTCAAGGATCTAGAACTAGAAATACCATTTGACCCAGCCATCCCATTACTGGGTATATACCCAAAGGATTATAAATCATGCTGCTATAAAGACACATGCACACATATGTTTATTGCAGCACTATTCACAATAGCAAAGACTTGGAATCAGCCCAAATGTCCATCAGTGACAGACTGGATTAAGAAAATGTGGCACATAAACACCATGTAATAGTATGCAGCCATAAAAAATTCGTGTCCTTTGTAGGGACATGAATGCAACTGGAAACCATCATTCTCAGCAAGCTATCGCAAGAACAGAAAACCAAACACTGCATGTTCTCACTCACAGGTGGGAATTGAACAATGAGATCACTTGGACACAGGAAGGGGAACATCACACGGCGGGGCCTATTGTGGGGAGCGGGGAGGGAGGAGGGATAGCATTAGGAGATATACCTAACGTAAATGACAAGTTAATGCGTGCAGCACACCAACATAACACATGTATACATATGTAACAAACCTGCACGTTGTGCACATGTACCCCAGAACTTAAAAAGTATAATAATAATTAAAATAAATAAATAAATAATAAAAATAAAACTCACACTTATTTATGGATTTTAATTGTTATCCCTGCATTATGGATCTTTTTTAAAACACCAAGAGAATTTCATTTTGATGAAGTCACTCACATTCAACAAGAAGTTTTATCCAATTTAAAACTTTAATTTACATTTTCATGTATATTTGGAGTACCACTACATGACAGCATTGAGCTAAATACTTTATACACATAAATTCATTTAAGAATACAGGGTTTAGCTGGATGCAGCAGCTCACACCTCTAGGACCAGCTACTCAGGAGGCTGAGACAGCAAGGATCACCTGAGCCCAGGAGTTCCAGACTACAGTGAGTTATGATCACACCAGCGTACTTCAGCTTCAACAACAGAGACAGACTCTCTCTAGAACAATTAAAATTTAAAAAAATTTTTTTAAAAGAATGCTGTATTTGTGTGTAAATTTGCCTGTGTATACTGCCTGAGGAGAAGGTAAACAATATTTTTACGAAGCAACCCACATCATATCCCTGATGGCTTTTGTATGAGCAATATCCAGCCATTGTAGTACACCTTATACATATAGCTTAAATTTAGTTCATGAAAACTGCCTGATCCAACATGAAAAAGTTTCAGGAAAAAGAAAAGCTGGGTGTGTGCACACATGCACATGTTTCCTAGACAAGAGCTTCGAACCTAGGCAGTCCAGTTCCAGAACCTTTGCTCTTAACCACTAAGCAATATGTTGGAAAAAGAAGAAAGATGAGATATAAAAATAACTGATTTAGATAAAAACAGTACCTGTTAGAATAAGGGATCACATTTCTGAAGTCAGTACATTAAGAAATATAAGCATTAAATTATCTTTAAAAATGGAAAACAATCTACAAAACTTTTTTCTCTTGTGAATGAATATACATATCAGAAAGTTTCTAGCTTTTATGTTTTGAATATTATATCAACCAGTATTTCTTACATTGCTTTAAAGAGATCACACTTACCTTACAGTATTTCTGGCAGGATTAAATAAGGTCTTCGATTATGACTTTAAACAATAATCTTAGACCTTATTTAATTTAATCTAAATTAAATATCTAGATTATGATCTAAGGTCATAATCGAAGATCTTATTTAATCCTTTAATCCTCTCTTTCTATAAAGGGAGAGACTTATGTTAAAGAATTGGCTTAGAAGATTGTGGAGCACTGGTAAATCCAAAATCGGTAGGGTTGTGTGTGTGTGTGTGTGTGTGTATACATGCATATATATATATACGTGTATGTGTATGGGTATACACACACACACACACACGATTTATCCTTGAACAACACAAGTTTGAACTGCAAAAGTCAACTTATTTGTGGATTTTCTTCAGCCTCTACCACCCTTGCAACAGCAAGACCAACCCCTCCTCCTCTTCCTCAGTCTACTTAACAAGACAAGGATGAAGACTACTATGATGAGTTACTTCCACTTAATAAATAGTAAATATATTTTATCTTCCTTATGATTCTCTTAATATTTTATTTTCTCTAGCTTACTATATTATAAGAATACAGTATATAATACACATAACATATGAAATATGTGTTTATGGCAGGGTATATTGGTTCACACCTGTAATCTCAGCACTTTGGGAGGCCAAGGCGGGTGGATCACCTGAGGTCAGGAGTTTGAGACCAGCCTGACCAATATGGAGAAACCCCATCTCTATTAAAAATACAAAATTAGCCGGGCGTGGTGGTACATGCCTGTAATCCCGGCTACTAGGGAGGCTGAGGCAGGAGAATCAACTGAACCCGGAAAGCAGAGGTTGCAGTGAGGTGAGATTATGCCATTGCACCCCCGCCTGGGCAACAAGAGCGAAACTCCATCTCAAAAAAAAAAAAAGAAAAGAAAAGAAAAAGAAAAAAAGAAATATGTGTTTATGTTTCCAGTAAGGTTTCTGGTCAACAGCAGATTATGAGTAATTTTTTGGAGAGTCAAAAGTTACACATGGATTTTCAACTCTGTAGGGGTCAACACCCCAAATTCCCACATTGTTCAAGGTTCAACTGTCTGTTGGTTTTGTTTCTCTGGGGAACTCTAACTTCAGGGTAGTTGAAAACCAAGGCTTAGAAAACAGGGAACAGGAATTCAGATTCATATCTTTGTGTCCAGCCATTCCTGAAAGGATTATGAAATAAAATTCTCAAGAAGCTCTGCTGGATTCAGTTTTCATACCCTAACTATTCAGCCAGTGTAACGTTCTTTTTCTTTTAAGACTGTCATTTGACAAAACTAATCAATTCTGAGAAACAGTTTTTCACAGCCTCAAAAAGTTAAGCCTAGAGGAATTCCACTCCTAGATATATATAACCAAGAGAACTGAAAACATATGTCCATACCAAAACTTGTACAAGGCCGGCCATGGTGGCTCACGCCTGTATTCACAACACTTTGGGAGGCCAAGGCGGGAGGATCACCTGAGGTCAGGAGTTCATGACCAGCCTGGCCAACATGGTGAAACCCCATCTCTACTAAAAATACAAAAATTAGCCAGCCACGGTAGTGTGCACCTATAGTCTCAGCTACTTGGAAGGCTCAGGCAAGAGAATCGCTTGCACCCAGGAGGCAGAGGTTGCAGTGAACCAACATCATGCCACTGCACTCTATCTTGGGTGACAGAGCAAGACTCCGTTTCAAAAAAAAAAGAAAATGTGTACACGAATGTTCATAGTAGCATTATTCACAACAGCCACAAAGCAGAAACAATATAAATGCTCATCATTTGGTTAATGGATAAACAAAATGTGGCAAATCAATACAATGCAATGATTCAGCAATAAAAAGGAACCAAGTACAGATACATGCAACACCATGGAAGAACCTTGAAAACATGCTGAGTAAAAAGAACACAGATAAAAAATGCCACTTATCTATGAATCCATTTAAATGAAATGTCTGGAATAAGCAAATTCATAGAGATAAAAAATAGCTTAGTGGTTGTCAGGGGCTAGGGGAAGGATGTCAATGGGGAGTGAATACTAATGGGTTTGGGGTTTCCTACTGTGGTGATAAACACATTCCTCAATCAAACAGTGGTCATAAGCTTATGAATACAAATTCTCCTCAACTTACATGGGGGTTATGTCCTGACAAACCCTTCATTACTTGAAAACACCATGCGGCAAAAATGCATTTAAGTACTTAACCTACTGAACATCATAGCTTAGCCTAACCTATCTTAAACATGCTGAGAACACTTACATTACCCTACAGTTAGGCAAAATCAACTAACACAAAGCCTATTTTATAATAAAGTTATTGACTACCTCATGTAATTTATATGGATATTGTGCTGAAACTTTAAAAAAGCATGGTTGTATGGTACTCAAAAGTACAATTTCTACTGAACGTGTATCACTTCCGCACCAACCATCAAAAGTTGGGGTTCATCTGTATACTAAAGGGCACTGAACTGTATACCTTAAAATTATGAATATTACAATAAGCGAATTTTATCTCAACAAAAAATGTGTTAAGAAATAAAAATTCAACTCACCTGTCCTTTTTGTGGTGACAAACAATGCACAACTTCATCCACCATTACTGGAATATGTAATTTAGCCATAGTTTCAAAATCTCTATCTTGAGATCTGTGTAACTCCTGGGCTTGAGTTTGATCTGTTTGCTCCTGGGCTTCATATTCTCCATATTTTTCTGCTGTAGTATGTATTCTCTTTGGCCAGACACCTAAATTAGGTATGCCAGATGCCAACCAACATGAAAGACATTCTTTATACATTCTACAAAAATACGGATACCGAAGCATTCTGTAGGTAAACAAATCTAGAAAAAAAAATTAAAACATGATCGTTGGATTTTTTTAAAAGAATGTTCTAATACTTGGGGAAAATCAAGTTAATATGCAATATTTAGTACATCAAAAAAAACTTAAGACTCATGATCCGAACATCTTAAACAAGTAAAAGTAACAAACCCTTCTTATATATGCAAAGCAAGGAACCTAAGAGGACCCAGAGACATAATTTAAATACAATTTTTAATGTAGCCTAATACGTTCTAATATCATTAACATTTCAACCATTAGGGATATGAAAATTGATTATTAGGTCAACATTTTTATGAAATATACTTTTTTGAATTTTAATTAAGGCTAAAAAGTAGATTCAATGAATTAAAACTGTCTATTTGAAAAGTAATCTGGATGACTGAACAGATTATAAGTATTATATTTTAGGTTCAGATGGTCTTCTATTTCAAGCTCTTCTATTTGTTTTTCTCACAATGCTAAATTCTCATCTTCAGAGACTATCCCTGAGAAAAGACTACGCATGCACATCCAAAAAAAAAAAGATAATCAGTCTGTCAGTCTGATTCTCTGATGAGATCATCTCCCTGTACCCTGTATCAGTGGAGTGTACATCAGTTTAAACTGTAACTGTATAAACACTCAACTGAGCACACTTTGGTATTTCATGTCTACCTTTAATTATCTGTCCTCTGCACCCAAAAAATAAATAATTGATATATTCCTTGGATTTACCATATGTGCTCCATTTTCTTAAGCAATCCATAACTCTTTAAAATGCAGAAGAAAAAAAGGATTTGTATAAATATATTACTAACACACCTTTTGAAAAAACATCATGCATTTTATACCCAGTTGGTTTCAAGCAAAGTTTTTGATACTACCACAGTAAACACCATTTGATACTACCCAGTTAACACTATTCTTTCCTCACAGGTTATTAGTTATTTAAGAATATGACCCACACCTTTTATACACAAAATAAGATGCATATCAGTGCTTAATGACTGTTTTCTGAAGAAAATGAATGAATGAATGAATTCCAGACTCCACAGAATTAGTATTGTTATCAATCCTCACTTTGGGAAATTTCACCTGTATGACTGACCCCACCAAAAACCATATGTTCTCAAAATACTACAAGCAGCATAAATCCCATTTAAATATGTCTGTCTTTTCTTTTGCAATTAAAAAAAAATTAAAAACGTTGAAAAGCTGATCACATGTAATAAAACACAAAGAAATACAAATATGATATAACATCAATAAGATGTTACCTTGAGAATATGTTAACTTTACCAAAGCTATAATCCGCAGAATTGTGTGGCAAATGTGACACCGAAAAAATGTGGGGGGAAAAAAAATGAGTCATCTAAGTAGATTTTTGGTTGCTTGGCAGCAACAAAATAGCCAAATTATTAATTATGCCTAAGGTTTCCGGAAAGCTTACAAAAGTAAGCTCAACTACCCTCTGACTTATTGTTTCTAACAGTTTACAAAATAATAGCTAACATTTATTTAGCACTTACTAAGCACCACTTACTATTATAACCACATTACGTGCACTACCTCATTCAATCCTTTCACAACTCTTGAAATATTATTATTCCCATTTTATAGATAGGGAAAACAGAGAAGTAATTTGCCAAAGGCTACATAGCTAGAGAGCCATAAAGCTAAAATTGTAACACAGTCTATCCCCAGAGCCTGAACTCAATCTCCATGCTATAAACATAGCCCACTGGAACTATTTAATCTACTTATGTAATTTAATAGTACTTCAATTAAATTGACTATATATTTGTAATATCTCATAAATTAGATTCATTTTATTAAGGAACCGACATCCCATGGCTTGGCTCTGCTCCACTTAAAAATAACAGTATGCTGCAGGGTTCCCAGTAACGAACGTACAATGTATAGGCCTAAAAAGTGAAATCTGGAACAACCATATCCTATATGTCTAGATTTTGATAACTAAAAGAAGTGTCATCAATTCTAACATAAGAGTAAGAACCATACCGGAAAAAGCAGAGTAGCGGGGGAAAAAAAACAAACAAACAAACAAAAAACGCTATCACTTGCATTTAATTCTTTTTCTACTGCATTCAGCTTCTATGTGTTTATTCAGCTATGGTCAAGGCACAAAGCCTGAATATTTTATTATGAACTAATTACCTGCCAACTTGGGTCAACCTGGAGAAAGGGTGACAAATAGTTCATTTTCCTCTTGTTTCCTGCAATACCTCCCTAAAAAATGGAAGGTGGGGGAGTGGTATGCTCTAAAGAAAATTATATTCTTCTCTTTTGTAGCCCAGTTTCCTACCAGACAACTTAGAGCTCTCCTGCAGTCTGCTAGGAGCCAGCCACCCTAAATGATTGAAGATTAAGTTCCCTCTGGTCATAAGGAAGGAAGCAGGGAGTCAGGAAAGCTGCCTCTGTGATCTCCTAGTTAAGTAATTTAACTTTTCTCTACAAGCAAAGTTCACTTTTGGCTGTTAAGAGCACAAAATTGGCCAGATTACTCTTTTAATTGTGAAAACACACAGGTGAGTGATGCCCATGAAGGATACTTCCTCAAGGGCTCTAACAATTATAATCATTGCAGTCAATTTTCTCCTGCAAGGAAATCCTGTTTGAAAACGTAATTTTTAAGGGCAAAAACGCGACGTGGCGGCTGGCACACAATCACTGAGAAAGTGAAAAGAGGTTCTAAGGAAAGAGAAAAATACACGCTTCTGCCTGAGAATTACACTGTGACGACGAAAAACTATTCGGAAACTTCCAAACCCAGGTTGAAGGCGTGCTGAAGAGAGGGAAAGGGGACAGGGGCGTATATATCCTTTGCTCCGGGCGAATCCAGCGACCCCTGTGGAGTACCCCCAAAGGTTTGGTGGTTTCCAAAAAGAGTTCCCGGGACTTGGTCACCTTCTCCTCACCTGAGGCAGGAAGACTTCTCAGCTGGCCTCTAACTTGGCCCAGTGACTACCACTACGGTCCTGAAGAACCTGAATGTGCCGCACGTCTAGGTCCTGCCCCTGGGGGAAACTTGCAAGGACGGACAGATTGGGTCCACGTCCGCCCCAGCAACTCAGGACCGTCTGCCTTTGGTTCCGCTGCTTCCAGCCTCAGCTGCCAAAGGGTCCTGTTGGCGCTGGGGTTTCCAAACGACTTTCCTGGGGGAAATAAATAAGACCTCACTATTGCCATGTTTCAATTCACTTTTACTTTTTCCATTTTTATTTTTTGGTCCGAAACAACTTTAAATCTAACTTTTAATTTATCCTTATCTCTACTCTTCGGTTTACAATGAAAGTATATTAAACTTGTGTTCTGATAACACAGCAGTTATACTACAATTTTTAACTAAAAGTGGGAATTTCTGTCTCATTAGCTCTGTATGTTTAGAAATTACAAGAAGCAAGGTGGCATAGTAGTGGGATTGATTGTAATGTCAAAATCTGTCTGCTCTAACCAAATGTACAATTCCTTTAAAATACGGACCTCATCATCTGAACACTGCTAAATGGCAAGTGTAACACTAAATTTGAAATCTAAAGTACTTGGATTAGGTGTGAAAACATATGTGGCACTGATAAACCTTATACAACGTGGATGTCAAAAAATACAAAATTTAAAACACTTCTATTCTTCACCAATGATCCATGCAATTTTACAAGCAACTGGCAAAATATGTATATTTTCAGACTGGATTAAGATAGTCTCTTAATGTCACTTAATCTAGACAGTATCTCAGAGACAAATGACTCAATTCTGAATTGCCTTGCCTGTATAGTTCAAGACAAAATTTTGTGTTAGGGATTTTCTGAAAACTTCAGTTTTCTCTCAGAAAAATTAAAATAACAGTACCTACATCTCATAGGCTGTTTTGAGAATTAAATGAGAGACCATATGTAAAGGGACAAATAAAATACCTGGGAAGTCAAAACATAAAGTACTACACAGTGAGTTCTTACTGGAAATAAAGACATCTCGATTTTATTACCAAGCCCAGCAGCACACAAATAACCATTTCATTAGCTAAGATACACATAATACAGCCAAAAATAAGTAGTAGCTTTATTGATCCTGTCTAGTGATCAGAAAGAATAATATAACATGCATCATATACAATACACAATACTCCCGATTTTCCTCAACAGGAAATAAATGTCCATAATACAGAGGTTTCCATACATTGTTGCATTTATAATGCTCTGCATGGATAAGAGTCATCCTATTTATAAAGTGATATTGAATCAACAGAATATAAGCTCCAAGATGGAAGAAAGTTTGATTCTATTGTATACTATTGTGTGTCTAAAATCTAAATAATTGCTAAATGAATAGATACAATAACAGTAATATATAGAACCATGAAATTCAGATACTGTTATTAAAAATAACCTGCCAAAGTTATTTTAGCAAACATATTTCCCATTTGTTCCAGGTATTTTCTCTCTTTTTAAAGTATATATTCTTAAATAATATCTGTAACCTGGGACTTAAAAAAAATCACTTCACCTAATAACAAACCAAGCCAAAATCTTTAAATAAATTGTTATGCCATCATTAGACAGAGAATGTAAAAAGCAACCAAACAGAAAATAGTTTCACAGTCAGTACTAATGGGAGTAGGCCTGGAAGTCCTGAGAAATGAAGCCTGAGGCCTCAACCCAAAAGATCTCCAGGTGAAGAGACCCCACATTTTGGCCCATATGAATATGTCTGGAAGGAACAGGTCCCTACAACTTCCTGGAGGCCTCACTACTCAGAGAAAAGAAAATAAACACCCAGAACCCATTAATCCACACCCAAACTCCACCTCTCCCCCTAGCAGAGGGAATAGGCCAACCCCTGCCCGCACCAGTCTCACTCACACCCTGTACTCTGGGACCGGGCCCCGCACCCGCCGGTCCAGAGAAGGCCTGGTGATCTCAAGTAACTGCCTCCCACAGGCAGCTCCGGTCTAGCCCCGCCCACTTTGGCCACCGCCTCCGGAAACGGCCTCGAGCGTTGCCACGGTGACGAGAAAGCGAAGCGCTTCCCCAGCGCCGCCAGGCTCAGCTTCTTGGCGGCAAGCTGCCGCGAGCCGTGACAGCGTCCGACGTGATGACATCACGCGGGCGGCAGCCAATGAAACGAGGCGCTGAGGAAGGTGGCTTGGGTTTGAATATTGTGGTTGAGTCTGAAGCGCCGGGAGGCGGACATTAAAGTGAAGTGGTTGCGGTATGCTGGCCTGGGCCTGAAGTGAGTGAGAGGCACATGAAGGTAAAACTGGACTCTGGGACACTGCTTTTGGTGACCTGTATTATTGGGAACGGAGGATCCTGCCGCTTCAGGTCTAGAAGACTAGGTGGGCTTCTTGACAAACACAGAAGCGTTGAGGGGTGGGTGGGGGATCAGGGTCCCTGGGGAGAAAGTGAAAGGAAAAAGGGATTCAGAACCTGCTAAAAGCACAGCACTGCTTGACCGTAATACTCCACTGCTCAGCTGGAAGGGCAGGGATCTCCTTCCTTAAGTTCTGAGAGGAAGGTCTTAACTTTTAAAGGGCATCTTGGCCCCTTTCCCAGACTTTGGCAGAGAACTTTAACTGTCCAGCACGTTGCAGCGTCAGCTTTTTTCCGGACTCCAAAATCGGGCTGTTTCCTTTCAGATGCGCATATAAGCGTACCCCTGGGTTACCTATCAAACGAGGAGTTTTTGTTCATCACTGCATAAAAGTTTTGTCTGACGAGCTTTAACTGTTAGTGTTGCACTGGTCAATCGGGAACCCCTCCCGAGCCCCAGTTGTAGGTAGCATCAAGATAAAACTCGCTCTGCCTAACGGGATTGCCGAGGATCAGATGAGGTACGGAAGAGATAGTGTTTGGCAAATGTTCTGCAAATGAAATTAAACTGTAAACATAGAATCCGTCCTATAGTCTGTTCTTGGTTTCCGCGGGACTTTTTTTTTTTTTTTTTTTTTTAGGAGCTCATTAGTCTCTCAGTTACAGAGAAGCCAAGACTGACTACTGTTTATTATATGAGAAGAGAGTATTTGACCAGAACGGACTGATTTTGTGGTATAATATATAGTTTAGATTATGGAATAATTAGGTAGAAATTTAGGCACACTACAGATTTTAATTGTTAGTGTCATTCCACCACATCTAACCTCCTATTTCGTTTTTGGAAGGTTTTTATAAACTTTGGTGCTAGAGACTGTGATATCCAATGACTAGATAGTGCTTCTTATTAAGTTCGTATTATTTTGTAAGAACTATTTCAATAAATAAAGATTATCTACAAAGCACAATCACAAAGAAAAAAATTTTTAAAGATTATCTGCCTTTATTGGTAGTAATTAATCTCTCTTCTATTATTTATTCATTTATTTGAGACGAAGTCTCTCTCTGTGACCCAGGCTGGAGTGCAATGGCGTGATCGCCGCTCACTGCAACCTCCACCTCCCGGGTTCAAGCAATTCTCGTGCCTCAGCCTCCCGAGTAGCTGGGATTACAGGCATTTGCCACCACACTTGGCTAATTTTTGTATCTTTGGTAGAGACGGGGATTCACTATGTTGGCCAGGCTGGTCTCGGACTCCTGACTTCAAGCCATCTGCCCGCCTCGACCTCCCTAAGTGCAGGAATTACAGGTGTGAGGCAGGGCACCCAGCCCTTCCTCTAATGTTGTTGAAAAGTATTTACAAATACATAATATTTTTATATTAAAAGTGCATCTTGTCACATCATAGAAATACTCCAATTAAGGGACACAATAAAAATGACTTTTTTTTTTTTTTTTTTTTTTTTTTTTGCTGACAACTGTGAAAACTAAGAGGAAAAAAAAAATAGCTCAGCTGTCAATGCCGGCCTTCCCTCCAGTTGAACTTTTTATTCTTCCCTGATGGTTGTAAGTTAGTGGTAGTAGTGCCCCCAAGACTGATATTCCAAAGATAGCTTTAAGATGGATGAAGACTGTAGATGATAATGTTGAGTATCGTTTTCAGTCCTATACAGTGTTTGTTGAATCTGAATCTAATTCAGGTTTGAGTTTGTATTTAATATATCGTAACTGTCACTCTACTTCTGTATCACTGTTTGGAAGCATTCTCTTCTGGTTCCAGTAGAACCTAGTTGTTAAGAACATGGACTTTGGATTTGTACCTGGTGAGGAGTTTGTGTTTTATTCTTATGGTGAGAAGTCATTGGAGACTTTAGAACAGATGAATGCCATATGATGCATCACATGATCTGAATGCTTTTGATGAAAGTATCAGTGAATACAATCAATGAATTAAATTTATTATAATACTTTCATAAAATTAGGGGTGAATCTTTGACCTAATTGACTTATATTTGACATTTGGTTCCCCACTTGTTATGTCATCTTGGAAAAGTTACTTATCCTAAGGCTAAGTCTTTGTTTTTGTAAAATGGAAATGATACAACCTTACGTGATTATTACAAGGATTGAATGCAATGACAAATGTCAAGTGTTTACTATAATGCCTGACACAGAGTGTATGTACTCAAATGATAAGCATTGTTGTTCATTATTAATAATTATCACCGTATCAACCTAATCTAAGCATTGTTATATAAAAGCATACTTATTGAGAATGGCCACTGTGTGATACCTGACAAGTACAGAGAAATCATAATCAGTTTTATTTTAACATTCAAGAGCTCCTATGTCAGGCCCTGAGGTTTCTATCAAAAGTAAGCAAAGATAAGAGAGTAGTACCAGAAGCTGAGTTTTGGGGGAAATAGGGAGATTTTGGTCAAAGGGTACACTTTAAGTTATAAGATAAATAAGTTCATGGCATTTAATGTACAGTATGAATGGTGATAGATGTATTAATTTAATTGAGGTAATCATTACATAATGTGTAAGCATATGAGATCATCACATTGTACTGTACATCTTGATTATATACAATCTTTGCCAATTAAATGTTTTAAAATTTCTAAAAAAAATAAGCAATATATATTTTTAACTTCCATAATAAAATTTCTGAGTGTTATATATTTACATGAGGGAGAGTAGTGATTAAGTACTTGGCCTTTAGATTCAGTCAGTCTGAGTTCAAATCCCATGTCATGTGCTTCCTTAGTTGTGTGACTTTAGCCAGTTAATTTCTCTGTACTACACTTTCTCCCTTAATAAAATAGGAATGACAGTACAGTGTTTATGTCATAGGGTTGTTATGAGGATTTAATAAGAGTATGTCAATTGTTTAGTACATTTCTATTTGTGGGATATGAGCTCAATAGAAAATATAACTTATTGTTACTAAATGAAATGTTGTGATTAAGGTAAATTTTAATAGTGGTTTTGTTGTTGTTGTTTGTCTGTTTTGAGTATGAAATGGAAAATAAACCTGTCTCTCACTCAGACCTTCATATTTCCCTCCACGGGGAAAGTGGTATTACCAATTTCTTGTGTACCTTTCTGGGAATGACCATGCATATACATATGTATCTTTTAAAAATACAAATGGTAACATGCTATAAGTCTATTAAATCTGTATTGGTTTATTCATTCATTTATTCAACAAGTATATATTGGGTCCTAAATATTTGACAAGCAGTGTCCTAGGTGCTAGTGTACAGATGAACTCTGTGCTCTCAAGTGCTTACATTCTAGAGGGGAAACAAGCAATAAATATGTAACCCGATAATATATACTTTCCAATTACTGCTAAATTCGAGGAAGAAAAATAAACCTGGTAAGGGATTGGAGAGGCAAAGGCAGGGTGACACTTTTGGATAGATTCTTTAGGGAAAGCCTCTGTAAAGTGGCATTTGAACAGAGACCTGAAAAATGAAGTGAGGGATTACAATTTGCAAATATCTGGAGGTAATGCCTACCAGTAAGCAAAAATGCAAAAGCCAGGAGGCCAAAACAAGACTGAAGTGTTTTAGGAATGCTAAGAAAGTCATTGCAGCTGAAGCAGAATAATGAAGTGGAGAGACAACAGTAGAAGTCATTGTCAGAGACGTAGACAGGGCCATATGTGGAATTTATAGGCCATGGTAAGGAGTTTGTGTTTTATTCTTATTGTGAGAAGTCACTGGATAGTTTAGAGCAGGTAAATGACATGCAATACATATCATGATCTGAAAGCTTTTGAAGAAAGTATCAGTGCATACAATCAATGAATTAAATTTATTATTGTACTTGCATATAATTAGGGGTAAATCTTTGAGATGAGCACTAGCTACATATAAGTTAAAAATTGACCTGTTTAACTTGGCTTATTACCATGCAAGTATTCAGAATAAATAGATTTTAATACCTCATTAAACATTACAGAGGCATGAGCTGTTCTACGTAAATGAATCTTCCAGAAAATTGAATATTAGCTTTGCTAAGTAATAAAGTATTTTAACCACACTCAATGATGAAAATAAAACATGATCTTCCCATTTCTTTAATTTTCTAAACAAGAAATTGGGAACATTATTTCTTTCCTATTTTTTTCTTTTTGATGCCTCAGGATTCTCATTGTGATTGCCTGTTGTTGTCAACTACTGTACTCTAATATGTTGTTTCTCTTGGAGATATACGTTTTCTGTTTCCCTCTACTCTAAATGAGTAAATTGCTTTTTGGGGTCTGTGAGCACTTTTTATAGTTTATTAATTCATTAATTGGTATATTTGAAAATTTACTATATACTAGACTCTCTACGAGAGAATAGGGATATAAAGTAAAAGTCTATTAACTGTCACGTCTTATCATTCTCTTGTACCCTTTTCTAATCATGCATAATAATCATAAAATTTTGGAGCTAGAAAAAGACCTTCCATATCATATAATCTAACACTTTTGTTTTATACATTGGCAAGTGAAGCCCCTTCCTTAGCCCCTTCATTCCTCTTTTTTGATATGCTACTCTCTCTAGACTAGACAAATATTCTTCTTCAGGTTTAGTATCTATTATATAAAATGTTTGGTAACAGAAGATTTTTTGAATTTTGGAATTTTTTTTTTTTTTTTTTTTTTTTTGCATTGTGCTTACTGGTTGAGGATC